TAGACTGGTACTATTATGAAAATTATAATAAAACATGAAAATGAATATAAATATAGTAAGAATTATCATGTTATGGTCATTTTTACTATGTTTTATTATAATTTTAATAGTGCCAGTCTATTCCCGGACTAGTAAGATGGCATTGTAATTTTTACTACAATATTTCCTTCGTGTACTTAATTTTTCTTTCTTGAGAAATGTAAAATACAAACGAAATATAAAAAAATCTTCAAGGATTACCGTTCTTAATATGCAATAGTCGCAAATGCATGGAAACAAAAATCTGAATTAACCTGACAATGAACGAGCTAAACGCGTTCTACTCGGAAGAAACAGGATTTTTGGCTCTTACATGAAAATATTATTCTACACTGAGAAAGAAATACTCGAGAATTTATTTGTGGAATATAAATTTCTCAGTGTAAAGTCAAGAAAAACAATTATTCGATTTACTTTCCTCCTGTTAAATAATGATTATGTTCAAAGAATATTTTCTTGACAAAAGATTTCAAATGTATTTCTCACAAATTTCAGAAAAGTTCATTATCGCACTGAGATAAAATGCTTGAAAATTTATCTGTGAGATATAAACTTTAGTTCTGCGAAATAAAGTCTGCGTGAATAAGTTTTATATCCCACAAACGAATTTCCATGTATCCTTTTCTCAATACGTGTACTTAAACGAAAAGTGTTTATTCTCTTTACAGGAATATTATAAAACCTTATCGAGAAAAAGAAATTAGTTCGACTTTACACAGTAACAGACCAAATTTTTATTTTAATTTAATATCGTGAATTATTGTTATTCAATGTTAAGCTTATTGGAACCTAAAATGTATTTTGAATAAACTTGATATTTATGATGAACTTATGATATAGTGAGAAATCCAAGAAATCCAAAAAAACAGTATTTATTTGGTAGATACTAACAACATATTACTCTTATATTAATATGAAATATTTTTCAAATAAAAGAAAATACATATTTTCTTAAAATCTTAAGAAAATTTTAGCTTTTCATAAAAACATTAGTTTATTTTATTTAAATCTAAGAATTCTGAGTCTCAAATAAATATTAAATATTAATACCTATCAAAGAAATATTTACTATTTTTTATATATTCTTTCTCTCACAGAGTAGACTCGCAAATGTATAAACTTACGAAATATCCGAAACAAGTTGCATTTATTGAATGCAGAGTCTGTATGAACTAAACTCAGCGTTGAGAAGAGAGAGATGACAATCAAGGCACGAAAAGGAACGAGATGTACGGTACCAGACAAGCCGGAGATGTGCGTTCGATTTCGAGGGCGACGTCAGAAGCGCGCACGTCGATCGCGTTAGTTCAACTTACTCACTTCATATCACTTTGAGAAGCCGGGCGATTTTTATTTTGATGCGCACGCCGAATAAATTAGCATCGCCAATTGATGCTCAGCCACGTGTCATGGACAGGAAAATAACGTTACCGTGGTTTTCCACGGACGCCGCTCCGTCACCCTTGCCGCCGCTACCGTCGCAGTCACACGAGGTCACATAATAAAAGAGGTCGTTGCATCGGAGAAGCATGTCGAATTCGCGACGTTTGCGATGCAACGAGCCGCGAATATGCTTTATACGCGTGTATAAGCGAGCAATTATCATAATGAGCGCGTTAACGATTCATGAAAGCAAGAAGCCCGCAAGCCCGTGACGTCGTGACGATAAGGCACCGCCGTCGCCGCCGGATTTCTTCGTCGGGCAACCGAGTTGTTGGTTGTCCGAATTACAATCGCACCTGTAGCCCGTGCAACGCACGATCGCACCTGCAGCGGAGCTGCAACATTTTGGGACCCTTCTTTCTTCCTTCTTGCCCGCTCCCTACCTCCCTGCAGTCCCTTTCTCGTCCTTTCCCCTTTCTCACCCCCTTTAATCTTCTTTTCGCTCACCGCAAAGAGAGAGTATCATCCGAGCTCAGGGGAGAAGGCAAAAGCCGCGCGCGCACGCGGAGGTTGTCGGAGTTATCGACGAGGTGCGTCGCGGATTAAACTGTCGAGATCCGTATCTTAATTTCGCACGCGACTGCCCGTGCGTGCGGGCCGCGTAATGCCGATAATTGCCGTGTCGAATTGCTGCGTGCGCGCGCGGCACCGAAAAGATGGAGATAATTGTCTTACGCCTCATTAATCCATGCTACTCCGGTAATGACGCGCGCTGTTGGCAGTCGCGTGAGAGTCGCGTTTGTATGCGTGCCCGTGCGGGAACATATCGCCGCGATTTATTTAGTGCACGTCTAGTACGTCCAGCAGTCTATATTGAGGAAGAATTACCTGAAAATTTATTTGTTGTGTGATAAAAATTTATTTGAGCAAGAGTGAACTTTATTTTATGGGAATATATTCTATTTCATAAAAATAAATTTTGTATGCTGCAAATAAATTGTCAAGTATTTTTTCTCAGCACGAATAGCAACACGGAGAAACGACAGTGAACAGTGAAACTGAAGCAAGAGAATTGATCGATCGATCGACGATCGGGAATTACCAAAAGTGTGAAACTGCGCGGAGAGAATATTTTATACAGAGAAATTATTATATACACAATTCTGCAACCGGGGAATGAGATCGACATTCTGCACTGATTGTGTGCACTGTGGAAGAAATACTTGAAAATCTATTTGTAACGATATAAACGTTATTTCTGTGAAATAAGGTTGATTTCTGCGAACAAACTGAAGTATGCTATTTAAAAAAATCTGCTATGTTTCTAAAGAAACTTACTACATTGAGAGAAAAAGTGCTTTTTGAAAATTTATTTGTGGGATAAGATTACTTCTGAGTTTACTTCTGAGAAACAAAATTTGTTTCTGCGAAATAAAGTTTATTTCTGTGAAATAAGTTTTCTATACTTTATTTCTGAAATAAGTGAAATTAATTCTACATCCCACAAATAAATTTTCAAATATTTTTTTAACACATATTCCTTAACAAGATAGACCTTTACTGATAGTCTCCTGAAATCCTTGCACTACTACACTGAGAGAAAAATATAGTTGCCTTTAGCGTCAACTATACGCTTTTGTGATTTTAAGCACAAAAATAATTAGAATTATCTTAGTAAGTGTTATTAGAAAGATGATTTTTCTAATTATTTTTCTGGTTAAAATCACAAAAAAGTATAGTTATCGCCGAAAGCAACTATATTTTTCTCTCAGTGTACACGGAGAAAAAGTTGTGTTAAAAGGTTGTTCTATATAAACAAAAGAATTTAAATTTAAGTAAGAGTATTATTAATATTTACCGAATAGTTTATTTTTTAGACACTTTTCGCGCTCAGTGTAGTAAAATTTGAAAGAATTCGTATGAAAAGAAAAAAGAAACTAATATTATCTTCGTGTAAAGCTATCTTGCTGAAACTCTCGACTGTGATTGATCAATTGATTCTATTATTGCTTCAGTCATTGTTGGTTACGCTATTCTACGTGTGCCGTAACCTTAACACATCAGAACGGAACAGTGATTACAGCGCGATAATGAGCATAACAAGTTCGACTACACCAGTACGCCAATATTCGGAGTGTCTCACGTTATCTTCGCACACAGTCGTAGGAGGTCTCCTGAAACTTTAAAGTGTGCTGCGTTCAACTGACAATAAAAAGTGACTGCAGCGTATTTTATGATCGAATTTTTTCAATATTTCCTCGAAATTTTCAGTCAATTTCACAAAGGGACGCAGCCTCTATTCCAGTGCCAACAATAAAGATAGAAGAATCTATGGCCGATCCTATTTTATAGAAAAAAAAAACATTTTTCTGTGATCGACACGAACCAACTTCCAGGTCAAGTTTCAAAAAACCAAGGTAACCGGAGCAAGCTCGTACGCTTCGCACGCAATTTGTAAGCAAGGTGGTGTGCTGAACATTACCTCGGTCTTTAACGTGGAAATTAGAAAAACTTAATGGCTCGTTTAATTTTAAGTAGACTGTTTCATAACTTCGTCGCGTGATTTACCGCGCAGCGCTCTTTACGCGATTCGACGAGTTTGGAGTAGATTTTACTGTACAACAGTTTTTTAACATTTGCGTCATTTCATGAAAACATCAGAAAGCTTGGGAAACGGGTGACACGGTCGGAAAAATTTTCACCAAAGACAAACATGCTTCGAACCGACCGCGGAATATGTCCCTCAAGGACACGTCGGAAGTCGAGATATCCTAAATACATATTACCATACCAACCACAATTCGGGTGAAAAAATAAACATTAACTTAGGTCTGGAAAGCGCTGTCGGAAAAACTTGCCGCGTAATGTTCCATTGTAAAGTGTCATGACACGAAAAACAAGACAGATTAGTTCTATTACGACCAAATTTCTAGAGATTCCTATTCAGAGATACTTACAGAAAAAATATCGAAACAAATAAGACAGATTAATGGTATTTTCGCCGAAAAAAGCCTTCAGTTTTAGAATTGAGACCAAAGAACCTGCCATTTTCATAAAAACATCAAAAAATTTGAGATCAGGCAGAAAACAAGAGAGAAGCGAATGAACTTCGATTCGGTCAACTAGTATTGGTAATTCAGTAACCGACACGTAATCTCGACTTGTCGTATTTCGAGAAAAAATGTATTAAACATCAATCGATCGCATAGAAGTGTTTGTTGTCGAGTGTATGTCAACAATGAGAATCGACAATGAATGCTGGAGTTGAGATTGCGTACCGATATACCGATCCAAATCAGAAGTTAGAATCTTTCTTTCTCTTTCCTTCCCCCTTTCGCTCTCTCTCTCTCTCTC